AACTTAATTTAACTATTTAATTTAGTTAATTTAATTCATTGTTAACCAGCCAACTCTGCGGGGCTCTTTAAGTTGTTGTTTTTTAAAAAAATTTATTCAAAAGATTAAACTACAAAATTCACGTAAAAAAATTAACAGAGACAAAACCAAACTAAAGTAAAGGTAATGGTTCCCCTCGCATGCGCGTGCTAGTCATTCCCGACTCTAGGGGGCGGTGCTCATCTCCGTTTCAAAGCAGAAGAGCCAGCGCTGTCCGAAGACATCTCCGTGGTCATGTGGCCGGCATGACTCAATGCCGAAGGCGCACGGAATGCTGTTACCTTCCCACCAAAGGTGGTTCCTATTTTTCTACTTGCATTTTTTTACGTCTTTTGAACTGCTATCTTGGCAGAAGCTGGGACAAGTTCCGGGAGCTCACTCCGTTAGGCAGCGCTAGGGATTCGAACCGCCGAACTGCCGACCTTTCTGATTGACGAGCTCAGCGTCTTAGCCACTGAGCCACCGTTCCCTAATTTCCCCTTATATACAACTAATTTGCCTGTTCTTTTGGTCCATAACTAAAATTGTTTGCTTTCTTAGCTGTTTTGCAGAACCCTGAAAGAGAGAAATTCTTTTCTGCAACAACAGAAGTCTGCAATTTCTTTTGGCCAATTTTTAACCCAAGGATAATTAAAGGATGGTAATTGATTTTGTCCAACTTTGGCACTGGTACCTAGACTGTTTTTTGTTTGTTTATGGATTTCATGCAAAAAAGGACTCTTCCAAATTTCTGTTGCATCTCAGCCTTGCAATGAGACTGATGAAGTAGCAGGGGTGGAGAACTTCCATTTTAATTTCCTACGATGGCCTGTGATATAACATTCCTCTGCAGAATTGTGAGAAATTAAAATTAAATTAAATTAAAATTACATCTTGGACGGGAGCGAGACATAATGGTGTCAGGCAGAAGGAAAACTGGAATAGAAAGTATCTTTTTGCACTTTCTAATCAAGAAAAAAAAAGGCAGTGATTTGCCAGCAGCTAAATAGAAAAAGAGAGAGAGAGAGAGCAAGAAATCAAGAATATGAACCAAATCTCTCCACCCCACAAATTTTTATTGAATTGCAGTGATGTGATTGCTAAGAATTATTGGGAAAAATTTCTATCACTTAAGGCAGAAAATATACCAAAAATTTAATGCCAGCCTAATGGAATTATTTACGCAATCCCGGAAATGAAGCACAGGTTTTCTAAATGTATCTATTGTTTGTCTATCTGTTGGTCGGTCTGTCTATCTATCATCTATCTATCTATCTATCTATCTATCTATCTATCTATCTATCTATCTATCTATCTATCTAT